TGAGGGACTGCGGTTTATGGATGAATTCCAATTCTGCTGTTTCTCTTTTCAGTCTACCTTTGTAGTTCTTATGTTCAAGGACCACTGTTCTGAGGTCTGAGATGGAATGCCCAGAGAGATTGAAATATTCAGCCACCAGTTTTTGTATATTCTCATTCCTAATGTCTGACTTATATCCATTTATCCTCTGGTGCAGGGACTGGCCTATTTGCCCAATGTAGAGTGCCAATGGGCATTTATGACATAGTATGGCATAAATCACATTGGAGGATGAGCATGTGAAGGTCCCCCTAATATTGTGGGTGATGTCATTAGGTCTTGTGATGACATTTCCTGAATAAATATAGGAGTAGAGTTGGCATCTTGGTTTGCTGCAAGGCTTAGTACCTGTGTCCCCATTTGTGTCATGTAGCTTCCTGTGGGTGAATACCTGTTTGAGGTTTGGAGGCTGCCTGCAGGCAAATAAAAGTCTGCCACCAAGAAATAATACAGAAAATACCAAGAAATAATACAGAAAATAGTAAATAAAATTGTAAATAAAAATCGGAGGTGGGTGGCTATATATAAAAAAAAGACAAGGATATGAAGCTGACTAAATAATGATTAGGTCCTTTTCCTCCCCTCCCCTCCCCTCCTCTCCCCTCGCACATAGTCAATTATACTTAGGTGTTCAAGACACATGCAGCCCAATAAGGAAGATATATGCATCACAAGAGGCTTTGTCTATGGTTCTTCACTTGAACTGGAACTTCTACATGTAAACTGTGGTCTTGAATTGATGGGGCAAAAATTTGCTCATTCCTTATTTTAATATCAAGTTAAATTCCATTTAGCAGTCAACACAGTGATGCTCAAGTTATAACTAAGGGGGGTTGCAGACTGCCAGAAATAGTGCAAATTGAGTCCACTTTTAGGGTTAGGGTTAGGGTTAGGGAATCATGGGAACTGTATTTTATTGTGGCACCAGAGCTCTCTGACAGAGAAGGTTCGATGTCTCAGGAAAAAAACAATTCCCATGATTTCCTAGCACTAACCCTAACCCTAAAAGTGGACTGAATTTGCACTATTTCTGGCAGTCTGCAACCCCCTAAGTTATATTTAGTTTGAAAAAGTAGAAGGACGCAGAAAGGTGAGTCCACTTTTACCAGAGGATGGTTTTTATAAAGGAATTGATTTGAGAAGACTTAACATGAACAAAATGGGAATGAGTATGGTATACCCTAAGGCCAGTAAACCCTGTCATTCTTTTCACATATTCTGATTAATCATGGGGTCCTAATGAAATATGACAGCATTAAAATAAAATAAAAAATCTCACCCATATTTTGTGCCATTTGCCCACCTTTCTTTGCACTTGAAGCTGCTTCATTGTGTTAATGATGTCTAATACTTGGACCTTTAATGCAAGGAGACATATAGCCAGGAACTGAGATTATATGCATGAAACTGTATGTTAATTCATTTGATATAGTTACTGGAATAGTTGCCTCTACTTAATAATGGCTTTTTATGGTAATGAAATTGTCTGTGTGCTTCATTTCTCCTGATTATTTCTGTTTGCTGCCATCAAACTAGCCCATAAGGCTGATAATCGCCTAGCTTTCTGCAAAGTGATTCTTTGGATGGTTCTCAATTATCTTCAAATTAGGTATTTCTTCCACCCCCACCATAATCCTCCAAATCATTTTAACTAAAAAGGAGAACATATTCAAAGCATTTTAAAAAATAATTAAGTGTGCAGCACAAAATCAGGAAGACTCTGAGGCCCTCAAGTGAACTACATTTTAGTGCTCTACTTCTGAAGCAAACAGAATCAAATGTATAGTGCTTCCATAAGGACTTTAAGGGTTATTCTGCAAGCCAACACAGACAGGATGAGACAGTGCGACCTTTGCTTTCTGATAGTTCAGTGTACACAAATTCTGTTTCATGTACAGAATTATTTAAAAATATTGTACAAAATTACCTTCAGGCTATTGTATAAGCTGTATTGTTGCTGTGTGTTTTCAAGGCATTTATGACTTATGCTGACCTTCAATGATGCTATTGTGGGTTTTCTTGGCAAGTTTTTGCCATTGCCATCCCCTAAGGCTGAGAGAGTGTGACTCACCCAGTGGGTTTCATGGCTGAGCCAGGAATTAAACCCTGGTCTCTAAAGTCCTAGTCTAACACTCAAACCACTACACCACACTGTCTTTATAAGGTGTATATGAAACAACTGAATTTGGGTCCCATCTCCAAGATATCTCATTATGTACATATATCTATATGCAAATGCAAGTATTCCAAAAAACCCATACTCCAAATCACTTCTGGTCCCAAGCATTTGGGATAAGGGAGACTCATCCTGTAGTAATGCATTTCCCCTGATTTTTGTGCTTCAGTGTTTATTGCTCAGTCAATTGCACTGTAGCAGCTAAAGCTAAATCTGATCCATGAATCAAGCTGCCCAAGCTCTTTTACATGCTCCAGCCATGTGTGCCATACTGCTTTTGTCGCTGAGTTTATCCTTACAAAGCATAGAGCAGGGACCAGCAACCT